TACTACAACCTGGACTGGACGGAGGAGCTGGGGAAGACGGATTGCCATGGCTTTATCTCCAGCCTTTCGTATCCAGTGACCACCGAATGCACAAATCAGGCCTCGGGCCTCGTTGGGGCCTTCAGCACTGGAGAGACCTGCCAGAGCTTCACGAGCGCAGAGGCCTCCGAGCATCTTGCGGTCGGATGGTCCTGCTCCAAGAATGGGGCCGTCTTTGTGGGTGGCAGGATGTCCTGTGGCGGGAAGTTCAAGTTCCTCTGCGCCACCACCCCGGATCTTCCCCCAAGCGGCGGATGCCCGGCTTTCCAGGTCATGGAGCTCCAGAACTACCAGAAGTACATCACGGGCTCGGGGCACGTGGTGGTCTACGCCGGGGAACGGGTGGCCTTGGTCCTCCCAGACACCGCGCGAACCGCCGACTTCAATCCCGAGAACAACCAGAAGACCTCTGAGGCCATGGAGCTGGTGGTCTCCAACTTGCAAAAGATGTCACTCGGTTACCGGCTTTTTGGAGAAGGCCCCCTTCATGGGCTCTCGCTCTCGCTCTCTCTCTCTCTCTCTCTCTCTCTCTCTGTCTCTCGGTTCCCCCTCTTCTACGAGTGTATAAGACTGTGACATGAAAGAATCGGCCTTAGCACGCAAGAACGTCCGAAGAGCCAAGGCTCTACATCTACGATGATGTCGTGGGCATGGTCCCCACGTACTTCACCGGCGATGCTCGCCTTGAAGGCCGCATTCCCATGGAAGTGAACTTCATTGATGCTGCAGGACTCGCCAAGGCTGCTGCTCGCCTTCCAACAAGGAACCGGTTTTGGGTTTAGTATAAGGGCGGAGCGAATAATTACGGGGGATACATTATTAATTATAAGTATTGTATAATATATCCCCAAACGAGATTCTAATGATCAAGGCCCCTGTAATAGGGCCAAAGTTGCTCAGTTGCTTAGGGTTTGCCTCTCAAGTAACCGGGGTTACCATCTCATATCATGCTGTAAAAGGTTCTTATGATATATTATGCTATAGTATACAGTATACTATGTTATATTATATTATGCTATATTGTACGATAATATTCAAAAATCCGGGCTGCATGGCCCCGACGGTGTCCGATGTATCTGAGGTGAAAGCCGGCTGCGCAGTTGGCCCGGCCTTTCTCCAAGGTGGGAGTTTCTTCAAATGGTGGTACCTTATTTGGGGCTTTCGGGCTTAGAGTGGGCGGCGGTACCATATTTTGGGGGTCCTGATGGCGTAGCAAGGGCCCCGGTGTCATAGTCGAATCGTAGGCCCCTCTCCCCCCCTCATTTTCGGAAACTCCCAGGCATGTTCGAAAAGGCGCTGGAGGGGAAATCGGTGGTTGACCATATCTTCTTCTATGAAAACTTCCGCAACTACATGTTCCCCCATGTGTACACCAAAGTCCTGGACTACCACACCTACGATGGGGAGTTGAGTTGGGGATGGGTGAACCAGGGCATCATCAACATCATCGGATGCCTGATCTCCGAAGACATCACACCACCAGTGGCCTTCTACTACTTTGGAAAGGATCGTGGCGAGTTCATGGCGAGCATGGAGGCAAGCTTGATGACCTACATCCATGATGAGCAGTACAACCAGGAGAACACCTTCATGAGGGAGCGGCTGCCGTGGCACCACAGTTCCAGTGTCGACAACCTGTACTCCGGTCTATGGTCTTTTCTATACCGGAAGTGTGGTGGCACGGAGTTCCTGAAAGGCTTCTTCCACTCTTTGCCGGAGCTCTTGAGCAGGGCTCCCTCGTCCAAGCAGGACTACCTGACAGCCATGGAAAACTTTTACATCGCAGCAAGCATCGGCGCTAAGCACGACCTCAGCGCCTTCTTTGAGGGTGACCTCCGCTGGCAGATCGGGGCTGATGCGCTTGAGTATGTTCAGTCCAAAGGCCTTGCACCGATGAGTCTTTCTGCCACCACCACGACAACGACTACCACCATGCCCG